AAATGGAATGTATAAAATCGATGCAAGCAGGTAGCCAGCAGAATCAACCCGCAGACTAGTTATGCAAGGGAGAAAGGATATCCTCACAAGGGAGAAATGTGGGCAACAACTTACTAAGGTATCTAATTTCAAATCACCAAGAACAGGAAGAACTTACTATCAAGCGCTGCGTGACAAAAGGACACCGTACTGTATGAAGCATTCCTGACAAAAGTGTTTAACAGCACTGGGGACCGAACGGGGCCTTCACGCTGGACTATATCCCCGCCCTCTTTTCCCTTTCCTTTTGTTTTGTTTTTTTAGAGACAGGTTCCTGCTAAGCCACTACCTTGCCTAACCTGGGCTTAAACTTTCAATCCTCCTGCTTCAGCTTCCCAGAGCGTTGGGGTTACAGCCCTGCGCCACCATGCCCAGCTGGACTCCTCAAACAGGTCAGTGTCAGGAAACACACAGAGATTGTTCTGTATAAAAAGAAACTAAAGACACAGAGGAATTAAATCAATGTCTGATCTTTGCCTGGTAGGAATGTGAAATTACAGCTAAGTCCAAAGAGTGAAACAACAGTTACCACACGACTCAGCGATTCCACTCCTAGGTACCTGCTCAAGAGCGCTGAAAACACCCAGGGAAAAACCGGTTCCCAGTTCACCGCCCACGAACGGACGCGCAGGTGAGTGACGTGCGCACAGCCACACAATCAAACCCTCTGGGCCGTACAATGGAACGAAATCACAACACAACGCCCCAGCACAGACCTCGGAGCACTGCACAGGGCGAGTCTCGGGTCGGGCACTGCGAGGCGGACAGGGGACCCCGCGAGCGAGGCGCGGAGCGCTGGCCCAGGGCTGCAGGCGAGGGCGGGGTGCGGAAGGGAAACTTACAAACAAGAAAAATCAGACACAGGTTGATGACCCCTCTGGCGTCCCCAATTACTCTGAAAGGTCATTTAATTTAAAGAACTCCAAACTTGAATGTTCATTTACGCGTTTATTCCCGTCAACATAAATCATGATTTAAAGCCGTAACATTTTTAAATATAAAGGAGAGCCTGCGCGGCGCCGCATCGACACGACAGCGAGCACAGCGCCGGGGAACGCGCCCGGCCCGCGGCGGGGCA